GAAGGAAGGAAGGAAGGAAGGAAGGAAGGAAGGAAGGAAGGAAGGAAAGGAAGGAAGGAAGGAAGGAAGGAAGGAAAAAAGAATAGAAAAATAACAGAATATTAAATTTGGAAGGGACCTTGGAGGTCTTCTAGTCCAACCCCAAGGAAGGAAGGAAGGAAGGAGGGATAGCAGAATAACTAAATCCATAAGTCATTTTTTTCAGCGCCGTTGTAACTTCGGATGGTCACTAAACGAACTGTTGTAAGTCAAGGACCACTGGAGTATCACTGCAATGTCGTCTCACCTTTCTTCGGTGAAGCTATTCAGATTGATCTGAAACAGATCCAAGGTTTGGCCCAGCTCGGTCTGGTAGGATGACTGGGAAAGGACAGGAGAGAGAGAAAAAAAAAATGATTAAAAGAAGATGAAAAGAAAAAAAGAAGATTAAAAAAAAGGAAGAAAAAGGCCAGAAACGACCTCTTTCCATCGCTTTTTGGGCGTTCTTGTTCATCTATTTACATCCCAACTTTCCCGTTCATCCCTTCCCTCCTTCTGTTTTGCTACACAACAACCCTCCAAGGTAGGGCTTGGCGAACGAGCGAATGGCTCCAAGTCTACCAAGGGGAAGAAGGGAGGACTCGAACCTGGTTCTGTCCACCCCTAATCCAGAACCTTCTCCACTGCAGGTAGTCCTCGACTTACAATGGTTCGTTGATTCAGGGATTCCTCTTAACAACGGCAATGTTGCAGCCAATGGTCGTTACGTCAAGTACTACCTGCGTTAACAGCGAGTTCGAATCCTCTTTGGTTAATGAAGAAGAGGTAGACTCAAGCAAGGAGCCATAGCAGCAGCAATGCTGAGCTCGAATGCCGTCGTAAGTCGGAGGACACCTCATAGGCATTCAATATTTGGAGCGGGTTTAACTTTACGTGAAAGTTTGCAATCGGTGGGATTGTTTGATCCCGGGTGGAATCTTAACATAAAATGTCCACATCATAAATTCCATTTATTGGGGCCCTCCGCACCCTCTCTGGGGGTCCCCAAACAGCCAAATTTAAAGCTGAGGGTGGGGGCGCTGGCCCTCAACGAGGAAGGGTTCATGGTTCCGCTCACCTGAAGGAAAAGCTCCATTAAATTCATATAGTACGGCTGGTCTCGGCAGTGCCGCCTCAACAGCTGGTACACACTGGATTCCATCAGAAACGCATCGTTCACGGCGTCCAAACCAATCCCTTCCTGGTCGAGAGGACACCCCCAAAAAAGGAAGCAGGGATTACCAGGAAAATCAAGTCACCCCTAAATCCTAGTTTTGACTTCCTTGCAAATAAAACAAAACAAACAAAACAAAAAACCAGCCTCTAAACGTATAGTTCTCGACTTAAGATCACGATATTTTCTTCTGCGAGCGGGCGTCAAAATTGCATTTTTAAAAAATGTGCACCAGTGTGTTTACAGAAAAAACGTGACAATAAAGGTGGTCTTATCGATAATTCTCTCCTTTTCTCTCTTCTCATTTTATCCCATCCCATCTATTCTCTTCATCTTCTCTCTTCTGTATTCTATTCTATATCTTATTCTCTTCCATATTTCTTTTCTATTCTGTATTCTATTCCTATTCTATTCATCTCCTCTTCATCTTATCCTATCTCTCCTGCTCCTCTCTTATCCTATCCTTTCTTTTTATATGCACTGAGCATTTGCACCAAAGACACATAACTTATGTCTCCAATCACACTTGGCCAATAAAGGATTCTATCCTATCCTAATTAAGCCCAAAAGTTCTGTTGCTGAGTGAGAGATTTGCTAAGTGTGTTCTTTTACACACACACACACACAAAGAGGGGGGGAAAAACCCTAAGATTTGCACCGTTCTTTGCAGCAAGGATTTTTTGGATCTGCTCAAATTACCTGCCTGTACCAGCAAGGTCGTCCTCGGCGGGTCACTGAAGAGTCCATGATATCATCTGCGATGAGGAAAAACGCCTGCAACTGTGATGAAAAATAAAAAATAATAAAATCAGATGTGGCCGTTTTTCCCCTCTGGGCAAAAGAAGAGATTCCTTCTGCTTTGCCAAGCAGGACTTCGATTGGGAAACCAACAACGCTGAGAACTAGTAACACGAGAAGGCTACGATAAAGAGGCCGCATATCTAGTTTTGCCTGTATTGACAGCAAGCAAGGATTGTTATTTGCAAATGATGGGAAAAGGAGAACGCCCCGTCAGACGAGTGTCGGGATTCCAGCAATCGCCCTAATTAAATCATGATCCTCGAGCCAAACTTCAAAAAACTTCAAAGAATTCATCAGAGGCCCTGCCCTCAATGAAGCCAACTCTGGCATATGTAATTTACAGTCCCCTGTGACCCTGGGTGTGTCATCAATCAGATTCTCCAATTGAGTCCGTTCATGGATTGGGTGTCATCAATCACATTCTCCAATTAAAGATATCCGCAGGCTAAAACTCTGGTAGTTTAGTTACAATCTTTTAAAGATAAGAGTTGGAATGTACTTCCACTTCCCCCCTACTTTTTATGGCAACTACTAAAACAGGCATAGGAAAGTTTGATGAGTGGACAACGAGGATGTAATTCAGAAAGTATTAAGACTGCGCAGAGACGGACGGATTGATATTAAAAATAAAGGAGAAAGAAGGCACCGAATATTACTTAACACGGAATAGCTTTTACGAGGGGTTAGAGATAAGAGGTGGAAATGAGATGAATAAAAGATTATTGCGATGTATGAATTAAATATAAAGAAGGGTTTATAATTTGAAATATGCCAATATAACCCACAGAATTACAAATAAGATAATATAAAGAGAAATCTAGTCAAAACTACTCAGTTACACTATTACTGTTGTTTATTAGTATATATGTTAATATTCCTATTTGTTCTACCTTTGCTTTTCTGTAAATGATATGCCCCGATAATACACTGTAATTCAAAATGTGTTTGCAGCAGACAAAAAGTCACAAAGGAAATTTTTACCAGTTCAATGCACCAACCCACAACCAGGGCGATGCGGAAAGTCTTCGGATCAGGCTGGTCTGGTTTGGCGAGTTCCCGAATTGCAGCCACCACCGTTAATCCACGATTGTATTTGCCACCGACGGCATTATATTCGATCACCTATGGGGAAACCCCGCCCCCCCCAAAAAGAGACAGTAAGGAAATTGCGACAATTGTGGCTTAAGAGGAGATCCCACGGTGTTTTGATCTCCTCTTGGTCTCCAGCTCACCTTGCTGGGCGTTACAGCTTGTCCTCAACTTATGACCAAAACCATGATCATTTAATGACCCCATAATCCCTTGCACTGGGGTGGAATCTGGGCAACTGAATGGAGCTAGCAGAGCATTTACTGGCCGGATGCCCCTCCTGTCACCAGAGCGGAGTTTTGTTCGGCAGATAATATTCTCAGTGTGCCCAGAGAGAAAGAAATATCTGCCTCTACCTAGGATCGAACTCACAGCCTCCTGATGGGAGGCGAGAGCTTCCCCTCTAGGCCACCACACCACTCTGAATTTACAACCACAACTGAGCTCCAAAATTTACGCCGCTAAGTGAGAAATTTGCTCGGTGAGCTTTGTCCCGTTTTACTGTTCTTGTCACCTTTTGTTAACTAAATCCCTGCACTTAGTTAACCGATAACAGATAATCAGAGTTGGAAGGGATCTTGTAGGTCATCTAGTCCAACCCCCCGCCCAAGTTAAATTGGTCCCACCGTTAAGTGAATCTGGTTTCCCGCGACTTTGCTTGTTGTGAAGGTCGCAAAAGCGGATCGCGCAACCTCCACCGCAATCATCGTAAATATGAGTCAGTGGCCAAACTTGTCAGAAGTTTGACTGAGTGACATTGGGGCAAATTTATAGTCGCAAATGTGAGTCAGTTATCCAGCGTCAGAATATAAATAATCGCTGGGATGGCTTGCAAGTGGTTATAATTGGGAGAAATGGTTGTTAGTCATTTTTTTTTTCCGGTGCCATTCACTTCAAACAGTCGCTAAGCGAAACGCGTGTGTGGGTATTTCGCCAATGCTGATTTTTGTATCTATAAAACATTTTATATAAATTTTCTTTAGGAAAAAGTTGCCCTTGTCAATTTATAGTTCCTTTCCCACAAGTTTTGCCATTTCTCTTATTCTATATTATAACCAAAGTTTTTTTTTTAACCCATGGTGTCATTGTGTCTTTTACTTGTTCGTCCTGTTTTCCAGTTGAATCAATATACATATATATACATACATACATATATATACACATACGTATTCATATATATACACATACGTATTCATATATATATATGAATATGTACATATATATACATATTCATATATATATATATTTATATAGTTATATAGTTTAGTTATAGTTATAGTTTAGTTTAGTTATAGTTATAGTTATATAGTTATAGTTATATAGTTATAGTTATATAGTTATAGTTTAGTTATAGTTTAGTTATAGTTATATAGTTATAGTTATAGTTGTGCTTTTAAAGTTGTAGCTATATAATTGTAGCTATAATGACATGGGAAAATACCCAAACAAAGCTGAATACCATACATGTAAGTACCTGTGAAAACTTAAGAAAACATATATATATATACATATATATTCTTAATTTTTCACCAGAGTTCAACAATATCTGATCAAAGACTGTCCTTCATATAAGCCACAATTTTTTGTGTCTTTATAGTATCTAGTTTGTACTTGCAACTGAGGCCACCAGCATAGTATGATGCCCTGGTCTGCAAGTTCTTGCTTAGATTTTAATTTCCCTTCAGTGTCCACATTTTTTGTTAATTTTATTGCAAATCTGGGTTTTGCACAGAAAAGAAGGGCTCGAATCTTACCCTTTTTAGCCTGGTGACGGCATCGGTCAATTCCGGGACGTGAAGTTCGTTTTCCAACAGGTCTCGGACAATTTGGGGGAAGAAATTCACAAATTCTTCCTTGTCCTTAGCTGCAGAGTGATGCTTTGCACCTTCGCTCATGCTTTTCCAAGGAAACAGACCTGTGGGAGGAAAAAAGGGTTGTGTTAAAGCCACTCACATCCATCTTATTTGGTCTGTGGCAAGCCCGTGGGTTTAATTCCAGTTTTTCCCGAATAGATAAATCTATCTTTTTTATGGAAAGAAAAACAAACTCAGGTGCTGCGTGAGCTGGTTTTGTTTCCTTGGAGACATTTCAGGACCCTACTAGGTCACATCATCAGGGGCTAGAAGGGAGGTGGGTTTGCAGAGAGGAGGAGGAGAACCGATACAGATTGAGTTAGAAGGGACCTTGTAGGTCATCTAGTCCAACCCCAACCCCGCTCCCCCCTGCCCAGCTGTGGGGTTCTTGGTACTCTCTGAGCTAGGTGGTTTTCTTGTAGATGTTTCATGACCCAACTAGCTAACATCATCAGTACTAAAAGAGAGGGGTTGTAGACAGCAGCAGGAGGAGGAAGAGCACAGAGAAGCCGGCTGGTCTATATGGCCTTTGAGGTCCATTTTGATTGTACGATAAATTCCCAACGCTTTTAATTTCCTTGCTCCCATGAACGATGGATACCTATCTTTATTTTTAAAAAATATTTTTTTAAAAAATTCTACATCTTACTTACCAGCCTTCCTGAAATGCGGGAGAACAACCCTGCCAGGCAGGAAAAGGTGACTCCCGCGATGGACTGTAGCTTTGCAGCGCGCTCTCCAAAAACCTAAGGCAGAAATGGAAAAGCAACGTTTGCAATGCGCTCCTGAGATTGCAAATATCATGTGGACTAGCGCCTTTACGCCTGATAAAGTCTGCTTGCAAGGTTATTCCCGACAAAGGGCCGCTTTTTGCAAGGGAGCAAGGGCCATCAAAATGCAGAAGAATACAGAGAATTTTTAAATGCAACGCTTACCTTTGCTAACCTTCTAAGCTTATCTCAGCACTAAAGACAGATTCTGCCCGGTTGCCGGTTATGGTATTAAAATACCCAGGGCGCCGAAATGCCCTCTGGGTTTTGTAGTCCTGGCGCTAGTAGAACCCAAGCGGAAAGAACGCAGGCGCGGACTACGACACCCAGAAAGCCTCGCGGGAAAGGGAAGAGAGTTAAAAAAGAAGAAGAAGAAGCGGCCGAGGTAAGGATAGACCATAGGCAGGATTGATTGGCCTTTTCCATCGGATGAAGACGGGCCATGGGGAGAAGAGCCAATCGGAGAGAGGGAGAGGAGGAGCTTGAAGCTCGAGGGAGTTGAGGATTGGCTGGAAGGGGGAAAAGGGAGGAGTTGCAAGATGGGGTGGCTTCCTCGTTCTCTTTCTGAATAGATTTAACCCTTCTTTCTTTCTTTCTATCCTTCCTTCCTTCCTTCCTTCCTTCCTTCCTTTCTTTCCTTCCTTCTGTCCTTCCTTCTTTCTTTCTTTCTTTCTTTCTTTCTTTCCTTCCTTCTGTCCTTCCTTCCTTCCTTCCTTCCTTCCTTCCTTTCTTTCTTTCTTTCTTTCCTTCCTTCTTTCTTTCCTTCCTTCTGTCCTTCCTTCTTTCTTTCTTTCTTTCTTTCTTTCTTTCTTTCTTTCTTTCTTTCTTTCTTTCTTTC